TCGAAGAGGATACGGGAACACCACCCCCGCTGGTTGAGACACGGTGAAACCAGGACGGCGAAAAGTGCTATATGTCAGCATATACTGGAGACACGGCACTCAATCAATGTTGATCAGGCTTTCCGCGCGATTTACCACACGCCATCATCTCTGCCGAAACGCCTTCGGTTCATCATTCTATGCACAGCTGAGGCGCTAGCTATCCAAACATTGGATCCCCCTCTGTGCAATCAAAAGCAGTTCGTTCGGGCATTAGCCTTGCCGTGGCCTCGGATGAAGAAATCCACTCCACCCCCGGGGGGCGCACCAACGAACTAATCGGGATGAATATCAGGTAAACAATCGTAGCATACTCTCTGTACCTAGTCTGATGCGATCGAAACCAGATCGACGAACATAAATAACCGTATATAATTGTAATGGCCCGTTGATGAATTTATCGAAAAACAGCTTGTTTCGCCTACCGGACTTTGTTTTCAATGTGGCAATGGGAATTTTTCATTTACTGAGATCTACCAAGGAGCCCGGATTGGTCAAGGAACTGAATCAGTGCCTGAAGTTTACCATCCGCCTTGCCGAAGCAAAGGAAACAGCTGAATTCATCAAAGAATGCATTCAATCGAATACCTATCCGAAGGAATATTGGAAAGTTTTACGCCGTCATCATATCGAACCAAACAATCGCTCGTTGAAACGTCACAGCCTAAACCAACTGGACACCTATCGCAACAGAATCACGCAATTCGAACGAAATATTGCCCAAAGGGAGTGCGCGATGGAGTTACTTTCCGAAGAAGAAAAGGTGATGTTCCAATCGATGCTCAATCAAGTAGTCATAAAGTGTGCTCAAAACAAACGGCTCAAACTACAACGTGGTGTTTCTAAATCCAAACCTGTTAGTCATTTTCCGGACCAGCCCGAAAAGTGTGTACATAATTTCTCAGACATGAACCTAGACCGAGTTACGCTTGAAATCCTGTCACTCGGACCACAATTTTGCTGCCCCAGACGGAGAACAAACAAATTGGAAGTGGACGTGCAGTTCGAGAATCTGTATAACCAAACGACGGATCTAACATCTGTCTCCAGTGAGGACCTGAATATTCTGAAAAGTACGCTAGTCAACTGTGCACAACGATATCACAAAGAGAAACAGAAACACCGAAGTATCCTGACATCGGAACACCTACAGAAGCTAAAGGAGCTAAGACAGAATCCGGAACTACTTATCACAAGACCAGACAAAGGAGCCGGGATTGTTCTTATGAAAAGAAAGGACTACCTGGAGAAAATGAACGCCATCCTAGCAGACGGGAGTAAATTTCGAGAGGATACAGGGAAGAAAGACAGAACAGAACTGATAGAACAGCAAATGATGAAGCCCTTGAAGTCTCTGAAAGAAGGTAACCACATATCAATGGCAACGTTTGATGTGCTCAAACCACAAGGCTCAACAATACCACGATTATATGGCCTCCCAAAAGTACACAAACCGGATTTACCATTAAGGCCAATCTTGGATATGTCAAACTCCCCATACCATGCAACGGCCAAATGGTTAGTGCGATTATTAGAACCCGTCAGACAACGAATTTCCGCCTATAGTTTGAAGGACACATTCGATTTCGTCGAGCAGGTCAAAAACATTAACATTTCATCACAAACAATGCACTCTCTGGATGTGACTTCGCTATTCACGAACGTCCCACTTCTAGAAACTATCGAGTTCTTATGCGATTACATAGCAGAAAACCAATTAGAAATCGGAATACCCCTCCCCAGTCTGAAAGAACTACTGCTCCGGTGCACATTTGGCGTACAGTTCCTTTTCAATGGTCGAATCTTCCAACAAACGGACGGAGTCGCCATGGGATCTCCACTGGGGCCATTGTTGGCGGATATATTCATGGGGAAACTCGAGAGCACAATCCTACAAGAAACAATACACAAATTCAGTGTCTACTGCCGATACGTGGATGATATATTTTTCACAACAAATCAAACAAACAACATTGAGTCTGTGCTAGAGACTTTTAACGCAAGCCATAACTCAATCACATTCACTATCGAGAACGAGTACAACGATCGAATCTCCTTCCTGGATGTCCTCCTAATCCGAAACCCAAATGGAACTATCCAAAGAAGAGTGTACAGAAAACCTACATGGACGGGACAATACGTGAATTTCAATAGTTTTGTGCCTTTGAAACAAAAGAGAAATTTAGTAAGATGCCTGTGTATGAGAGCACGGAAAATTTGCTCTCCCAATGCGGTAGCGGATGAACTGGAACACATCAAAAACTTCCTTCGAGGGAACGGTTATCCGGATAATTTCATAGATAAACATCTAATGGAAATACCCGCGCGACCGGTTGTGCACACTGTCAACAAGAAACCGATCTACCTGCAATTACCATTCAAAGGTGATAACACGGCTGAGTGGCTCACACGACGGATCAATCAAGCGTTGCACCAAACATTTACAACAGCCGAACTACGCACGAATTTCACTACGTCTTCAGCAATACGTTTCCACCTCAAAGATAAACTGCCCCCCCAAGCCGCATCCATGTGCCTTTACGCGTTCACTTGCTCCTGTGGAGCGAGCTACATCGGCCGAACTACGAGGCAGTTATCGAAGAGGATACGGGAACACCACCCCCGCTGGTTGAGACACGGTGAAACCAGGACGGCGAAAAGTGCTATATGTCAGCATATACTGGAGACACGGCACTCAATCAATGTTGATCAGGCTTTCCGCGCGATTTACCACACGCCATCATCTCTGCCGAAACGCCTTCGGTTCATCATTCTATGCACAGCTGAGGCGCTAGCTATCCAAACATTGGATCCCCCTCTGTGCAATCAAAAGCAGTTCGTTCGGGCATTAGCCTTGCCGTGGCCTCGGATGAAGAAATCCACTCCACCCCCGGGGGGCGCACCAACGAACTAATCGGGATGAATATCAGGTAAACAATCGTAGCATACTCTCTGTACCTAGTCTGATGCGATCGAAACCAGATCGACGAACATAAATAACCGTATATAATTGTAATGGCCCGTTGATGAATTTATCGAAAAACAGCTTGTTTCGCCTACCGGACTTTGTTTTCAATGTGGCAATGGGAATTTTTCATTTACTGAGATCTACCAAGGAGCCCGGATTGGTCAAGGAACTGAATCAGTGCCTGAAGTTTACCATCCGCCTTGCCGAAGCAAAGGAANGCATCCATGTGCCTTTACGCGTTCACTTGCTCCTGTGGAGCGAGCTACATCGGCCGAACTACGAGGCAGTTATCGAAGAGGATACGGGAACACCACCCCCGCTGGTTGAGACACGGTGAAACCAGGACGGCGAAAAGTGCTATATGTCAGCATATACTGGAGACACGGCACTCAATCAATGTTGATCAGGCTTTCCGCGCGATTTACCACACGCCATCATCTCTGCCGAAACGCCTTCGGTTCATCATTCTATGCACAGCTGAGGCGCTAGCTATCCAAACATTGGATCCCCCTCTGTGCAATCAAAAGCAGTTCGTTCGGGCATTAGCCTTGCCGTGGCCTCGGATGAAGAAATCCACTCCACCCCCGGGGGGCGCACCAACGAACTAATCGGGATGAATATCAGGTAAACAATCGTAGCATACTCTCTGTACCTAGTCTGATGCGATCGAAACCAGATCGACGAACATAAATAACCGTATATAATTGTAATGGCCCGTTGATGAATTTATCGAAAAACAGTTTGTTTCGCCTACCGGACTTTGTTTTCAATCAAATTATACCACCCGAGCTATAAAACAACAATCAACACCGTTGTTTACAAAACTGCTATATATATTTATGTACAGATATATTCACTTTCGGGCCTTAAACCTCTCCGCATATTCATTCGCCACATGCTATTTTACCCTTCTCTATTTCGCAGAGGGTAATAACCCAGACTGTCGAGTTTCGCCTTTTTCTTTCAGATTCCGTTGGCTTGGGCCTACCTAAGGCTTGGGGTCTACACTCAAAATGTAAAATCTGATACCGGTAATGGATTTTGGGCGCGGTTGTGTCCACCGTTTAAACTACGTGTG